GCTGAAGTCGCCGAATACTCTTCAAGGGCAGCCCCATGTAGAGCACATTGCAGTATTCCAGCCTGGAGGTCACAAGGGCACAAGGGCTCTCTCTCTCTCTCTCTCTCAACCACTTTTTTAAAAAAGGAAGTTTAATGATCAGAAAAAAACACGCTTCTCGGGTTGGAAGGTGGATGGGAGTCCGCAGTCGCATTATACAGGTGATCGTTTTTTCATCTCAATCAAGAGCCACAGATCTCCTGGAATTAAGCTGGAGCATTAAATAGAGAAGCCCTTCCTTCTTCATCTCCAATGTGCTGACACCAGCATTTAACTCGGAGCTGAGGCCCGTCCTTCTCCTCTCCACTCTGGCGTCTTTTCTCGGTGTCAGTGACAGTTACGTAACAGGTTATGACAGTAACCCTCCACCTGACAGCCCAGCACATTTTGAGATTTGGCAGCTTTGGCTTTTGGAAATAAACACTAATGCCGCTTGCAAGCAGGTGGAGCTCAGGGCCGCGAGAGATTAAGCATCGGGATTCCTTGGCTTTGAGTTGCCTTGGCCCACGCTCTGAGTTGGCAGCTCGCCGCATTTGAATGCATCTGATAAAGGGAGCTACGGCTCACAAAACCTGAATAAAATGCGCCAATCAAAAATGGTGCCACCAGACTCCTGAAGAGTTTTGATAATATGTAAGGGGAAAAAAATAGAGACGCAATGGCTCAGCGGCTAAGACGCTGAGCTTGTCGATCAGAAAGGTCGGCAGTTCAGCGGTTCGAATCCCTAGCGCCGCATAACGGAGGGAGCTCCCGTGACTTGTCCCAGCTTCTGCCAACCTAGCAGTTCGAAAGCACGTAAAAATGTAAATAGAAAAATAGGAACCACCTTTGGTGGAAAGGTAACAGTGTTCCGTGCACCTTCGGCATTGTGTCATGCCAACCACATGACCACAGAGACGTCTTCGGACAGCGCTGGCTCTTCGGCTTTGAAATTGAGATGAGCACCGCCCCCTAGAGCCAGGAATGTGTAGCACATATGTACGAGGGGAACTTTTACCTTTAAGGAAAAAAGTTCAGTGAATCTCACCCCTTCCTTCCAGTCCGACTGCATCTTTTGTAAATTGCTAGTGAATCACTAAACTTTCAAGAGGAATGGATGATTGAAACACTGTTCCTTGATATAGAATGATGAAGTTATGAATACAAAACTGAATGAAGAAATAATCTCCACTATTTGCAAGTATCTACAAATACAATCTCAAGAACTTCCCGTTGTTTGAGGGTCATCTCATACTACATGCGGTCTTGTGAACCTCGGGCCTTTCCATTTTAGATCGCAGAGAGAGAATGTTGGCTTTTAATGTGGTGCGGAAGCCAAGTCCTATGAGAGACAGTTGCAATAGTGAGATATATTCCGTTCTGAGGGAGATGGGTGGTTCAGAAATGTGGGAAAGAAGAAAGAAAGAAAGAAAGAAAGAAAGAAAGAANGAGAGAGAAAGAGAGAGACCGAGAGAGAGAGAGAGACAGAGAGAAAGAGACAGATAGAGAGAGAGAGACAGATATAGAGGGAAAGAGAGGGAGAGACTGAGAGAAACACACAGAGAGAGACACAAAGAGAGAGAGACACAGAGGGAA